AACGGGAAGTTATTTTGCTCTCTAATCCACTTAAGTAAATCAATTAATTATGAGATGCAATTAATTAAGCTTCAGAATAGATCTACAATACTTAATCACTATTTGATTAGTAATCACCAGAAATTAATTTAGCAGAACAAAATGACTTTAATTTTCTCTTTTTCGAATGAGATTTTATCTTTTCATTATATATATAAATAAAATCTACCAAAAATGCATGTGGAGTTTGACTCCACTTTAGTATCTTTCTAAAATCATGTACTCAAACAAAGCAACATGTATTCACTAAAAAGAATAATTAAGATTGGATTATATCTCTTATTATTATTTTCTAGTATTTAGTACTTTACTTTATATGCAAAATAAAGTAAATTAAGATAAATGTGCATCTTAATTAAAAACGTGAATAAGTTTTAGCCAGCCACGAGTAATGACAGCACTTATATTCATGCGAAAAGAACATTAGTACCAAATATTGCTAAAGATATAATATAATAAAATAAATAAAAGTATAACTTTTGATTACTAAAACTTTTTATTTATTGACAATTTATACAACTGAACATGTAGAAGTAGGAGCAAGCAGAGATTTGAGTACAAGTTTGCTCAAGAATTATCAGTTTATTATTATATTTTAATATTTTAATTTCAATATTTGAAACTCTTTAACTAAGTTTTTTTTTATAATAATTATAGAGACCTTCCTATAAGTTAGCTTCACAACATTTAGTGATTTTCAATACTACGCTCATCTTCTTTGTAATATTTATTTAACTTAATTAAAATTAATTCAAAATAATTACAATATGATCAATTTGTCCTTTATAATGTTATACTTCCAAAACAAAAATAAATATTTTGGGTTTAACCCGCAAGTAATCATTTAAATCCAACAGTTATAGATTCGATCTTCTAACATTTACTGTTTTTTTTTTTATCATCTTTATATGATTTTCAATACAAATCAATATCTCGTTATCTCTTTGGTCCGCTACTACAAAAACCGAACAATGGTTTTATTCTCTCTTTGCCTATTAGGGAAATACCCCTCCGTTCCATATTAATTGTTCATTTTTTTCTTACACGTCACTTAAAAAATCATAAATAAGAAGAAAAATTTGCTAATGAAACTTTAAAAACTTATTTAAACTTTCAAAAAAGAGAATCAATTGTAAGGATAAGATAAAAAAATTTAAAATTAATTTTATCTTAATTTTGTAATTTAGTAAATAATCTACAGTGAGATGGATAACTAAAACGCAATCGTCGCCTAAATTTATTTGGATGGAGTTATGATATCAAAGCTCTCAATGATTTCTTTTTTAAATTATTTCTTTTATGGTTTTATTTCTAAACAAATCAAGTTTAACGGTTGTTGTAGAAAAGTGGAAATTAATTGCTACACACCAGAGTTGCCCATGGATTTGGAAGAACCTAGCTACTCTAAAAATGAATTTTAAACTTTTGAATATTACGATTACACCAAACAAATGTACCAATTTAAAAAGTTTAATATACGGAATTAAGGACAATTTGGTTAAATTACAACTCATTTATATTAATGACAAATAATTTAAAATAACTACATTTAGAAAATCAAAATAAAGGAAATAAACGTACTAATAACACAAATCACAAAACATGTTGGTGTCCGTCTCAAAAATATAATGCTTCACCCCTATAACTATGAATATTGAGTCCTTCAAGATAGATCAGTTAGTTTGGAGGGTGGTTATCTACATGGATGACCCGGGATTGATCCCACCTCAATGCCTTCTGAGTCGAGTCATCGCATAGGGCTTGATTTGCCTAGTGCGGTTGTTACATCCCTGTGTGGTTTGCAGGCTACAATTTTAGTCGCAAGTAAAATAGGAGATGTTAACGGAACCAACGTGTTAGTGATTATACACGGAGATTATATTATGGGCAACTTTAATTTCCATGAGTAATCAACATTAATAATAAACTATTTCTAAAATAATAATATTAATATTTTTATTTCTACATCCTGGCAATCCCTATTATAGATTTAATTCTATGTAACGTTGTTGTACGATTTTAATTAAAATGATTAAGCATGGATATTGCGTTAAACTAACGGAATGCCTAACTTGGTGAAAATGGACCAAATAAGAGAATGCGTGATGAAAAAAAAGTTAGCTCAAATGTTATTGGACGTATACAAAAATATGTGCACTATTTGTGGAGGCAAAGCTAGGTGAGGTTCATGCGTTCGGATAAACCCAGTAATTTTTCCATAGGTCCTATATTTGTACTAAAAAATTAATTAAATATATATGTATATTAATTTGTGTATCCCTAACAAAATTGATTGACAGTTATTAACGAATTTAGAACCCCAAACTCTTAATCCTGTCTTCGCCTCTGAGTCTATTTGAATTTATGTTATGATTTATAGTATAAAATACATATATTTTCAATATGAAATTTATCTAAGATGTTATAATATATATATATACATTTTTCTAAAAAGTTTATTACCAATCTAGAAACTTGTCATTTTTATCATATGATCATATGTATCAAATTAATAAATGTTTGACATGTGTTGTATATATAAATTGTTATTCAATCTGTATTTCAAAGAACAAAAAGATAATAATCAAAATAACTTGAATTAGATAAACGTCGAGTCCTATTAAATTTACCGTGTGTCTTTAAAAATACTATTCCCCTTAATGTATTCGAGGTAATAAAGTATATCTTTCTAAGATAAAACAATTTGCTCACCAGTCTAGCCATACCACAAACTCTAGTGAACAACATCCGAATCACTCGACAATAACAATAAATCACACAAGACTAATTTTAAAAAAAAAGTGCAAGAAGAAGAAGACCAGAGAAAAACTATATATATAAAAAATGAGAGAAAATCACTTTATTTATAGTCAACAAAGACTAGTATGATTATGTGCTTATCGAAAAAATAGCAACCCTTAGAAAAATTCATAACTTATCAGAAAAGCCACAACTTATCGGAAAAGCCACAACTCATTCAATATCAAAAGATATTCAAACTACATCTTTATCTTCGTGTCTTTTCAAAAAGGAAAAAAAAACATTTCATTTCTCATTCTTACTTTTTAAAGTCCAACAAAAATATTATCTCGATTTAATTAAGTTATGTATTTTTATCTAGATTTAATATTATTATACTATTAAATCATATGCTAAATTAACACGGTCACCCATTTGAATAACTTTTTCCTCTCTTTTTTTCGAGTGACATATGAAACGCACACAGAGATTCCATTCTCTCCCGTGTTTTCACTATTATAAATAAGAGAACTCAGATCGGCATAACGTATACTTTGCTCTTCTTATAATTAGTTCATAATTTCCTTATAATTACTGTTTAAGAGCCATTCTTAATATCTTCTTTTTTTCAGATTTTTTTTTGTATATATTGCATTTGCATGGCCACTAATTTACAGAAGCGTGGACTGGTGAGCTTGGGGAAACGATTTGTGAACCATATAACTTATTCAAGTGCTCGAAATTCTGCCAACTCATCATCTACTGGCCTCTCTGCCAGGTATACTCTGAACTTTGCGGAGTCTTTAGAGCCAGAATTTTGAATTTATGAATTCTGAATTCTCATAAACATCAACTTGCAGTATTTTGGATAAATACTTATTTATACGTATTAAGTGAATTTCTTAACACAAATATAAAATTTTGATTAAAGTTACTGAGTTCTAGCTGAAGCTGTAACTTTCTCTCTAGCTCCGCCCTTGATCAGTTCGAGTTAATTACTTTCAATTTGTTTTTTTAAAAAAAAATCTAATTAAGTGATGTGCAGGAGGGTGGTGCACACGTCAGTGTATGACAAGAATCCAGAGGAATATGTGTCATCGTGGGTACCTGATGAAATAATCGAGGTAGAATCAGACAAGTACAAGTACTGGACTCCTCATCCCCAAACCGGGGTATTTGGGCCAGCTACTGATCACATTATAAAATACGGTGAATATGGCTCTCAATTCTCCACTGTAGATTCTGTGTTGGAACAAAAGACATTTTTTCGCGATCTTGAGGATCTGGAGAAGCCTAGTCATACTTAAGTTTCACAAAATATTACAACAGAAAATACTACTAGTAGGGAAGGTGAAAGAGGTGTTTCGTTTGTTGTGTTCTATGAATATGTGATATGTTTAGTTAATTAATGGAAGTACAATATGGAGTAAGTATAGAATAAAACTAGCCACTCTATGTGGGCTGCTTTTAAATGATCATATGGTGCAATACATACGATCAAATTTCTCTGTAACATCGTGGTTTGTCCCAAAAAAAAGTTTGATTGCTATACCAAAATATTGTTATAGAGAATATGTAATAGAACATAAGATTAAAAGTTGGTTCCAAAAACAACTTGACTATTATAATGAACTATTGTTATAAAGGATGACTGTTATAGAGAAATAACAACAATAAAATAACCTTCTAGCTAGCTTAATCGGATTATATTACAGAATACTCGACTGTCCTATAGGTGAGGTACGCGCGTGCACCCCTCAACTTCGAAAAAAAATCATGTGTATTTATCTTGAGAAACTGACAGAAATTAGAATATAATTAACAATGCATCCATGAGAAGCATATGCTCACTCTCTATGTTGCCTGTTTTCTATGAATGAGACCTATTAGTTACTTTGGATTCTTAATTGGAGAAATGAGCATCTAATATCTGAAGCCATGTTGCCTGATGTAATATCATTTTCCTGACAAAAGGGAGAAAAAAAATCCTCTGGGAACATCAAACAAATTGGAGTGACATAGAATAGATTAACATGGTTACTATAAATTAGCAAGAGAGGAAAAGATGAAGGGGGAGCGCTTTCTTGTTCATACAGCAATTTCATTGCTGTGTAGGAATATAATTGCAAATGCAGTAAATATTGTGTCTTAAAAATACTTTTCATTCACCAACCAAACAACATAACACATAGGAAATAAATGACATCCTTCGTACGAAACACAAACATGAAACAGAAATAACAATCGTAACATTTTCTAATCAAACAAGTGCAGTTTTAGCTGATTGGTTCAGTTGGAATTCTTGTATTTCCTTGATTAAAAGCATGACATTGAGATGAGAAGATCCACCATCTTCTACAGCTCTTTTTGCCATTTCTCCAAGCTCCCTAGCTCTTTTTCTAATCTTTTTTCCTTCTTTCTCCTTGTCCATCACCTTTTTAATGGCATCCGTCACTGCATTGTTGCTCACTTGGGCTCCAAACTTCTCTTCTTCCCCCAAATGCACAATTGCCTGAGATCCAACACCCACAGCTATATTCAATACATGTTCTAATAACTTCTCATTAAGAAACTGCTCGGCGAATAAAGGCCATGTGATCAAAGGTACACCAGCACTAATCCCTTCAACAGTTGAATTCCAACCACAATGAGTCAAGAACCCACCAACTGCAGGGTGTGATAGAATTACTACTTGTGGTGACCATCCGCGTATCAAAAGCCCTCTTTCTTTTGTTCTTTCCTCAAATCCATTTTTCGATATCCACTCCTCTATTGGTGCTTGTCCTTCCCCTGTTTTTATGACTAAAATGAATGGACAACCTGATGCTTCCAGGCCTAAAGCAAGCTCCACAAATTGTACTACTGTAATACGACCAAGGCTCCCAAAACATGCATACACAACAGTCTCTGGCTCCCAAGAATCAAGCCATTTCTTCAAAATGTCCTCTTTGTCAAATGATCCCTTATTCCCTCTCTGAACTTTATCAAGATTGTCATTGTTACAAAGAGATAAAGGTCCAATGCACCAAACTCTACCATCTTTAAGTCTTCGGAATTTGTCTACATACCTTTGTTCCAACTCCTCGAAAGTATTGATCACAACCCCATATGCTCTTTTTTCAGCTGCTCTTATTTTGTCACGAATATCTTGTATGACAACTGTTCCTGCTGGATTGAAATGGGGAGGCAGCTGAGCTTTAGTGACTTCAATTCTATCTGGCAAATCAGGTATGACAAAAGTCCCTGATTCAGGTATTTTGTTTTGATCCTTCAAGATGTACATATTATACTTACACATTTGGTTGAAGCAACTCATTCCATCAAAAACAATTCTTGGAATCTGAAACTTATCAGCTGTATCAGCTGTCCAAGCAACATACGCATCAGAAATAATGCAACTCGGTTTAGGCTTCATATCTTCAAGTAATTTCTCAGTCTGTTCTTGCAGCATATCAATTGCAGCAAAGAACTGTCTTCGATAGTTCAGACCAGGCACATCATTATGGTTTTCACACCCCTCTGGAAGTCCTGCTTCCTTACCTTTAAACTGGAGCTCCACTACCCGAATGACGAGTCCAGAACGAATGGCACGGTCAATTGCTGCAGTGAATCTGGCGGCATTTAGAGCTGTCGTGACTAACGTGACTGTCACTCCTTGCTGCGCTAACAATTTGGCCATGTCCGCCAGCGGTATAAGGTGACTTGTAGAAAGTAAAGGAATCACAACAAAGTTTAGCTCTGCCAATGCTGGCACCGTTGTCATCTTTACTCAGTAAGAACTGAAAAAGCTATAGTTTATTGAGTAGTTTTGCTCCTTCACGTTTTTTCAGAAAATGAGCACTTTTGATTTCCATCAAACTCCAGCAGTTATATTTAAGTGCAAATTCTTCACCTCAGAAAACTCTTCACCACATATTTGTGAAGAGTTAATTAAGGTTATTATGTCATTTAGACGTTCATGACATGATAAAAAATTGGTTATTATATCATAGTGTCATTTATATGATGTTAAAGTTAGGTAAGAAAGGAGCAAAATGAAAATAAGAAAAAGACAGGGACCAATAACAGTCAGAATTTTGTGTCACATGTGTAGAGGTGAGAAAAATCCAATAATTGCCAGGCAGTACATTTCATTTTAGAAGGGGACTTGCTATATCAAAGCGTGTCCTTTCCTTTTTATGTGTATTTACTATGACAACTAATCAATTTTGTCTACATTATGCATCAGATCAATTATTGAGTCATGGTATTGAAGGAAAAAAAGATATTTGAAAAAAAATCGTTTCTCCCTCATCTGTAATGAAGAGGAGAATTTTTTGTGCTTATATTCATTGCTATGCCATTTGAGTTCGTTGGAGTTCTGTGATTTGTATGGCCGCGGTTATAATTCCTTAAGACCACACAAGTAACTTGTGGGCTCAAACTAATTGTTAAACTGTTGGATTTTAAAGGCGTGAACATGAAATGAAAGGTTGTGACTCTCCTGAAGAGTTGTGACTATGCTGAAGGGTTGTGACCTTTATGAAAGGTTGTGTTCTTTCTAAAGGGTTGTGACCGTTTGAAAGGTTGTGCCTTTTCCAAAGTGTTGTGACCTTTTTGAAAGGTTGTCTTGTTTCTAAAGGGTTGTGACCTTTACCCTTTGTTGGCTATAAATAGAGAGGTTTTCTCTCATTTTTCAGCATCGAATTCTTCCCTTCTTTTGCATACATTTCTTACAAAACAAAATCGATCTTGTCTATGTGTGTGATTCATTGTTGTCATTTTGAGTTTGTTGAAATTATCGAAGTTTGAGGTACCGCTACTTCTTTAATGGTTAATCCGTTTTATCTTGGGAGGAATTAATCTGCAACCTCGGGTACTTGAGGGAATTAAATTTATTAAGGACACACAATGAGTTCTGTGGACTCGGATAGTTCTTTGTGTTTTTCTTTTTATCTTTTATTATTTCTGGTTTGCTAATCTGAATACAAGAGTTAACAAGCTTAAGAAATTTAATGTTGGTATTTTCTGTGGTAAGGAAATTACTTATATTTTTTGTGTTCTTTTTATTGGGGAAAGAAAAAGAAGAAAAATAGAATTATTTTATCATATGATAAAAAAGATTTGGGATGAATTACTACTACTTTAATATGTTCGAGTATATTTTTTGTAGTAAGTTTTCCTTGGATGGGTAAGATTATTTTTATTTTCTTCCCAAGTGCATTCAAGCATTGCACCCTTTAGTTTTCTTTTCAATGAGAAAATTTATTTTGTGCATAAAGGCTAAGATGAACATTTTAAGTTTTTACCTATATTCTTGGTTTTATATAACTATGAGAAGAAGTAAATGAACAAATGTTGTCTCCTAACAATATTTGAACATGAGTTTAGTTTCTTTTTGAAATTAAATATCTTCTTGAGGAAAATAGGAATATGATGGAAACTGAAAAAAGGAAAAAAAAATTAGCAAGAAAAGTGACTTGCATGGAATTATTGCTGACAGATAGAATATGATTCAATGAGAGTAAAAATTAGGTTCTATCTTTATTTCTCTTGATTATTATTTTCTTTTTCTATCCTTTATAAGTTATGAAATTTATTTCATAAATGTTAGGATAGATGGTCATTATGTGATGATCTCGGAATATGTCTTTATTATTATTAATATGTATTCTGTTTAGAGGAGGAAAAATAAAACTTTTGTAGTTTTCTACTCCATGTGAAATTTGATTGTGTTTGACTTTGGGAGATTTTTTTTTACTCCTTTGGTTTGAACAATATAAGAACTTCACGAACAAATCTGATTGTGCATTGGTTTGAAGAATATAGAAACTTCACCAATTTGTTAAATACTCTGTTTGAATGAATATTCTTACTTGAAGAGTACAAAATCTTCGTTAGGAATATTAAGGCTAAATGATTGAAAAAGATAAAATCTTCATTGTTAGCTCGAAACAGTGTTGTATTTGAGGTTTCTGGAGATTAAAACCTTTTTGGTTTACTATTCTGTCTGAATGTGAAACTGATTCGAAGAGTTTTAAAACTTCATCAGAATTCAAGGTTCATTCGGTCAACGATTAGAAGAATATAAAAACTTCATCGTTAAACTAGAAACAAGTTGTATAAAGATTGAATCTTTATTGTTAGTATTCTAAATACTAAGTGGTTTGTCAAGTTGTGTGACAAAACGGGAAAAGAAAACACTAGTGGCATAAAATTAGTGATTTTTGTGCCTGGAATGGGTGTTTATATGGATTAAATCTCCAAAAGAAGGCTTTGTGTTGCCAATGTGTAAGCATGGAAAAAAAATATGTGGAAAACAATTTCAAATACTTGAAAAATATTTTTGAGAACATATTTAAAATGTGGGGGGTTCTTTACTTGTGATAAAGACAAAATTAGTCTTACTATCTAATTTAAATTTGAAAGTACAAGATATGAAATTTAATGACATTCTTGTATTATTTTAGACCCACAAAATTCTTGGAGTATATTTGATATTGTGAACGTTGAGTCGCTCTTTATTAGTATATGATATGACTAGTATAAAACCACAAAATTATATTACTCATTCAAAAGAATTGTATTCTTTGATGAAAAAGTTTCACTTAAAATATTATGATTTTTCATGAAAAGATATGTCTATTAATTTTTTTTTTTTTTTGTATAGACATGAACATTGGTGAAAAGTGATCTGTTATGTTAGTGTTGTAAAACAAACATTTGGGTCATATTGCTCTTATTGGACCGATGAGACTATGATCATGAGTAATTCTATAACAAATTGAATGTTATGGAAAAGTCCTTCTGAAAAGGACATATGACAAGGTGTTGACTCTAAAACAATGTCTGTATTTGAGAAAGTTATAAAAAGTAAAGAACAAAATATTTGTGGGAAAAAGTTACCTCACAGAAGGTCTTTTCAAACTTAGTATTTCTGTTTGTTCTTACTTGCTTGAATCAAATTGTTTGTGACATAAATGCTTGGGACATGTCAATTACAAAACCTTGCAAAAACTGATCAACTTAGAAGTTTTACCTAATTTCTAGTGCAATAAATCAAAATGTCAAGTATGTGTTGTTGAAAGGAAGTTTAATACCTTAGAATTGATTTACACTGACATTTGTGATATGAAGTCAACACCATCTCATAGTGGGAAAAAGTGTTTCATAAATTTTATTGACAATTGCACTAGATATTGTTATGTTTATTTGCTGAATGGTAAGGATGAAGCAATAGAAACATATTGGCAATATAAAACTGAAGTTGAAACAGTTGGATAAAAAGATTGTTATGATTAGAAGTGGTAGATGTGGAGAATATGAATCTTTTTTTGCAGAAATATATTTGGAAAATGAAATCATCCATCAAATTATTGCACATTCTCACCTCAATCTAATGAAATTGTTGACAGGAAAAAACTAAACTTTGAAGGAAATGTTGAATGTCCTATTTATAAGTTCAGGTTTACCACAAAATTTGTGGGGGGTGCTATCATTATAGCAAAAGAGAACAACAACAAATTTGTCTGTTCAGAAAGAGAGAAACAAAAAGTTTTGTTTGTTAGTAAAGGGAGTAACAAATTAAAAAAAAAACTTTTGTTTGTTAAGAAAGGGAGCAACAAAAAGTTGTGTTTGTTCAGGCTTTGTTGTATCCTGATAAAGAATTGTTTGTCGTCCCTTAAAGTTTATACAAGCAATAACTCTTGAAAGAGAGTGATCAAACAATTTCCAATACAGTCTATTTCATATGAGAAATGGAAATGAGGAAACTATTCCCTAACGGGTCAAAATAGGACCTAAGACTTTTGATTGTATGTTCATTGGATATGCTACAAATAGTAAAGCATGTCGATTTATGGTTCATAAGTACGAACCGTCGGATAGTCAAGTGAAGGGCCGAAACGACCTTGGGAAGAACCAAAGGAGAATGTACTTAATAAAGAGATTCAGAGGTGTAGTAAATGTCAATGGACAAATTACTTCCTACGAGTTTGATTTTGTAACATTTCTTCTTGAAAATGAGTCTCATATATTCTAAAAGTTATGTCCTTTGTGGACTCATTCTCTTTGAGAAAAGGCTGTCAATAGTAAGATAGATTCAATCTTGAGCAACCATACTTGAGAGTTGGTTGATCTTTCTTCAGGAAATAAACTTTTGGGTTCAAAGTGGATCTACAAAAGGAAAAGAAAGTTGATGAAACTATTGATAAATACAAAGACAGACTTGTTGTCATAGGCTTTAGACAATAAGAAAGCCTTGTTTGACAGATAATAGCACTAACTAGGATTACATCAATTAAGATGTTAATTGCGCTAGTTGCGAAATTTGGCCTTCAAATTCGTCAAAATGGATGTGAAAACATTTTTTTAAATGGAAAATTGGAGGAAGAAATTAACATGGAACAACCCAAGGGCTTTGTGGTTCTGATAAAGAAAAGAAAGTCTGTAAACTTGTTAAGTCACTCTGTGGACTAAAAAAATGCGCTAAAATAATGACATGCGAAGTTTGACCAAACTATGTTGGCAAATGAATTCAAGATTAATGAATGTGATAAATGTTTTTACATTAAAAATACTCCAAATCACAAGGTCATTGTTTATTTTTATGTTGATGACACGTTGATCATCAAAAGAGACATTTCTGACATAAATGTTACTAAGCATATGCTAGAAAGTAACTTCGATATGAAAGACATTAAATTACTGATGTGATTGAAAATGTACTTGACAAGTTCAAGCATTTGGATTTCAATATTGTCAAGACTCCAATAAATGTGAGATTTGTACTTCAAAAGAATGAAGGCAAAAGTGACTTACAATTTGATTGTGCTAGAGTATTGAGAAGTATGATATATATCATGAAGTGTACGCGATCAGATATAGCATATGCTATTAATAAACTTAGTCGGTTCACGAGTAATCTCAATCATACTCATTGGATGACAATGAAAAGAGTTTTGGAGTATTTAAAACATACATAAAAAACTATTGCTTTGCATTATAACTAATATTCAACAGTATTGGAAGGATATAGTGATGCAAATTGAATCACCATGTCAAATGAAGTAAAATCCACGAGTGGATATGTATTTACTCTTGGTGGATGAGCAGTCTCTTAGAAATCTTCCAAATAGAGATGTATCGCTCGCTCTACTATGAAATCTGAGTTTATCACTCTAGATAAGGCTAGTCAAGAAGTTGAATGACTCCAAAATTTCTTGAAAGATTTTAGGCCCAAACCTTTTAGCTCCAGTATGCATACACTGTGAGAGTTAATTTGCAATAGGTAGGGCATGAAGCATGAAGTATAACGGAACGTCTCGTTATATATGACGTAGACATAATATCATTAGAGAACTACTCTCTAGTGGAATTATCATAATTGACTATGTAAAGTCAAAGGATAATGTGTCGGATCCACTTATAAAAGGCCTAACTAGAGAGGTAGTTGATAGATTATCAAAGGGAATGGGACTATGGCCTAGAACAAGTCATTGTGGCGGTAACTCCACCTAGAAGACTGGAGATCCCAAGATCTAGGTTCAAAGAGATCAAACAAAGTCATTGGTGACGGTTTAACATTGTCAAAATATTTTTTATGGTCCATTCTCATGATAAGACAATGCTCAGTAACAAGGATAAATGCATTAGGACTTTTTGATGATTTCTAAGTTTGATACAGGGTATATCAAATGGTGTTTCTACGGGATAACATATTTATAAATCACCTATGTAAGTGTGAAGTGTAAGCCGCTTCAAGGAGAATCCGGTAAGGCCAGTTCTCTACGCACTTATAAACCAAGATGTGTTCATGGCTGAAACGAACAAAACAATGAGAACCAAAAACAGTTCAAGGGTTGATTGTGTGACTTATGTTGTCTAGGTATACACTAAAGCTCGACGGTTCAAAGATATCAAATCTACCGATTGACCGAGTATATTCGATATATGTTCACTATGGAAAGTTCAAAGGGAAACCCACTTATCCTGAGGCCATCAATCCTTAATTACGAATCACACAATTTTTCATGCATATGTTTTAACAATAGCCATTCCCTATTTATTTGGGGGATTGCTGGATTTTAAAGGTGTGAACATGAAATGAAGGGTTGTGACCTTTATGAAAGGTTGTGTCCTTTCTAAAGGGTTGTGACTATTTGAAAGGTTGTGCCTTTTCCAAAGTGTGGTGACCTTTCTGAAAGGTTGTCTTCTTTCCAAAGGGTTGTGACCTTTACCCTTTGTTGGCTATAAATAGAGAGGTTTTCTCCCATTTTTCAGCATTGAATTCATCCTTTCTTTTGCATGCATTTCTTACAAAACAAAATCGATCGATCGTGTCTATGTGTGTGATTCGTTGCTGTCATTTTCAGTTCGTTATCGCTACTTCTTTACTGGTTAATCCGTTTTATCTTGGGAGGAATTAATCTGCAACCTCAGGTACTTGAGGGGATTAAATTTCTTAAGGATACACAGTGGGTTCTGTGGACTCAGATAATTCTTTGTGTTTTTCTTTTCATGTTTTATTATTTCTGGTTTGCTAATCTGAATACATGAGTTAACATAAACAACATAAACTGACTTGTTAAATTACTACATTAAACTCTGTCTGATAACACTTTATAATTCTCAAATAAGTACATTCCATACTACTTGTGCATCTTCATTTTAAGATTTGTTGAGTTGGAATTCTTGTATTTCTTTGATTAGAAGTATTAAACTAAGATGAGAAGATCCATCATTTTCTATTGCATTTTTTGCAATTTGTCCAACGTCTTTCGCTCTTTTTCTCCTATCATTTCCTTCTTTCTCTTTGTCCATCACCTTTTTAATGGCTTTAGTCACTTCTTCTTTGTTCACTTGGACTTCAGGCTTCTCTTCCTCTCCCAAATGCATAGCTCCTTAAGATCCAACACTCACACCTGTTTTTAAGACATGTTCTAAGAATCTCTCGTTCATAAACTGCTCGAAAAATAAAGGCCAAGTGATCATAGGCACACTAGCAACGATCCCCTCAAGGGTCGAATTCCAACCACAATGAGTCAAGAACCCTCCAATTGTAGGGTGTGATAGGATCAATACTTGTGGTGCCCAGCCGCGGATCAAAAGCCCCTTTTCTTTTGTTCTTGTCCCAAATCTATTTTTTGATATCCAGTCCTCTATTGGTGCTTGTCCTTCCCCTGCTTTTATGACTAAAATGAATGGACAACCTGATTCTTCCAGGCCTAAAGCTAGCTCCACAAATTGTACAATTGTAATACAGTCGAGACTCCCAAGACATGCATAAACAACAGACTCAGGCTGCCAAGAATCAAGCCATTTATTTAAACTGTCCTCCTTGTCAAATGACGTCTTATTCCCTCTCTGAGCTTTATCTAGATTGTCATTGTTACAGAGACACAAAGGTCCAATACACCAAACTCTTCCATCTTTAAGTTTTCAGAATTCATCAACGTACCTTTGTTCCAACTCCTCGAAAGTATTGATTACAACCCCATAGGCTCTTTTTTCAGATGCTTATATTTTGTCTCGAATATCTTGTATGCAATGTGTTCCTGGATTGAATGCTCCAGGCAGCTGACATTTAGTTACCTCAATTCTATCTGGCAAATCAGGGATGACAAAAGGCCCTGATTCAGGGATTTCACTTTGATCATTCATGATGTACAAATTATGCATACATAATTGACTGAAACAACTCATTCTATCAAAAATAATTCTTGGAATCTGAAACTTATCAACTGTCTCAGCTGCCCAAGCAATATGAGTATCACAAATAATGCAACTTGGCTTAGGCTTCATCTCTTCAAGCAATTTTTCAGCTTGGTCTTGTAGCATATCAATTGCAGCAAAGAAATTTCTTCGAAAGGCTAGAGCTGGTAGAAGATCCGCACTTTCACATCCCTCGGGCAGTCCTGCTTCCTTAGCTGGAAACTGGAGTTCAAGTACCCGAATGAGGAGTCCAGAACTGATGGCACGATCAATTACTACAGTGAATCGGATAGCATTGAGGGGCGTCATGATTAAAGTGATAGTCACGCCTCTCCGTGCTAACAATTTTGCCATGTCCACCATGGGTATGATATGACTTGCAACAAGTAATGGTATCAAAACAAAGTTTAACTCTTGCTATGTAACCATCTTTAATATGATATAGTTGCAAATGAATAAAGATTAAATGTGCTTTTATATTATATTAGTAGTGTTACTACTTTTTAAGGTTATGATGTAAGGGCTTACATCTGCATTAAATTAATCTTGTAGCCTCAAGTATAGCAGTCCATTACGGCACTTTGAGCAATTATTCAAGTAATTAAGAAAATCTGACCATATGCAACTCGACATTTCATGTGATAAAGTCAGCTAACTATCTTACAGTCGTCTCTATTTCATGTGTACATGATAGCTAATCAATTTTGTCATTCAAGTCTAAGCTGACATTCACAGTTTCAATCATCCAATAAAAGATCGACTTTTGTAAGATTAACTTTAAGTTCGATAACTTATACTATGATAAAAAATATTACTAATTTTTTTGGCGAGGCACATTATGAGACAACAGTTCCTTTTTATGTGGCAATACAGTCACCAATCACTTAATTATACTTTATATATAACTTGTAGGATTTATAGAAAGAAGTCGACGAATTGTGTACCTTATGTTTTGCAGCGGAAAATCGACGAAATCCTTTTCTTTGAAGAATTGCTCCAAGCCAAACTTGAATCTCAAGGAAACAAGATAAATGATTCACAAACTAAATATCTTTTGGTGAGTGTCTTTTTCTTTATAGCTTAGGGTTACTAAGGTAATGGTTCTATTTGTTATGTGGATTTATATGATAAATATTCTATGACTTGTCTTTTACATTGAAAGTGCATGGTGATTCTCAAACTTGGCAAATGCATGTGTTTCAACTAAACTGTCCTTTTTAACATGCTTTAAGGATTTTATTGCATGGCTTTCATATTTGGTACATATTTGTGCTAACCCCTATTTCTTCTACATTTTTACAAAGTGTAGGTTCCGGCGTGTGAAGTGTACTTCCTTGATTAAGGTTTGGGTTGCTTATCTCCAAGACTTGTGGTGAGTCCTCATGGTTCAAGGACAAAATGTCATTCACTTGTAGTTACTTTCTTATATTCTACTTTTTAGACTTTTGATTGTAAAGGGTTGTGACCCTATTGCCATTCTATTGTAGTAGATGGATTATGAGACAATGTTTAGACTTCTTTCGATTTTATGAAGACTTCGATTGTAAATTTTTTAATTCCGCATCATTTCTATTTTCTTATGTTTATGTATGCTAAGGGGTTATATGAGACCCCTTCGGGGTCAAGTACGTCGTGTTGCATCTAAGGGGTACCCCTTGGGCGTGAAAAACTTGGTATTAGAGCATAAGGTTTTGGGATTGATTTTTAGGTCGATGTCTCATAAACCACATCTTTTAGAGTCTTGTTCATGAGTGTGAAGCGCGCCACACTTATGAATGAGAGGCTATAAGATGTTTAGGAAAGTTCACTTCATTTATTACTCCTTAGTCGTGCTTTAGATTTTTAACTCTATGAAGTCCTTTTGCTAACCCTTCTCTTGTGTTTATAGGCTATGAATACAAGAAGGGCAAATGCAAGAAAGATGGAAAAAGAGAATGTGAATGAGGGAGTTCCTCCCCAAGCTCCACAAGCTAAGGTCCTCAAGCTCCTATTGATGAGAGGGCTATGACAAATGTGGAAATAAAGACGGCTCTCTATATATTGACTCAAGTCGTAACCATTCAAGCTCAAGCCATGATAACTCAAGCTCAAGCCATGACGACCCAAGATACAAGGGAAATTATTGCTCCGACTAATCCAAATATGAATTCGGCCGCTTCTAGGGTTCAAGATTTTTCTAGGATGAATCCTCCAGAGTTCCATGGTTCCAAAGTGGGATAGGATCCTTATGAGTTTGTGGAAGAGGTTCTCAAGATACTTGACATCATGGGAGTGAGTTTGGTAGAGAAAGCAGAATTGGCCGCTTATCAATTGAAGAGTATTGCTCAAGTTTGGTACACTCAATGGAAGGCTAATAGGCCGGTTGGAGCGGGTCCTATAGAATGGGAAGCGTTCAAAACCTCATTTCTTGCTAGGTATTTTCCCCGGGAATTGAAAGAGGCTAAAGTTAAAGAATTCATCAATCTTCATCAAGGGGGCATGAGTGTGCAAGAATACTCCCTCAAGTTCACTCAATTGTCTAAATATGCTCCTTCTCTAGTGTCAAATCTGAGGGACGAAATGAGTAGATTCTTGACGGGGGTGTTCGACTCAATTGAAGAAGAATGTCGTGCGACAATGCTTCATGACAACATGGAAATATCACATCTTATGGTTTATGCTCAACAACTTGAAGGGTCAAGGCTTAAGAAGAAGAATAAGGAAGTGAAAAGGGCAAGGACCAATGATGGAAATTCTTCCAAGGGTATATTCAAGGGTCAAGGTAGACCAAGGTTCAAGGGAAAGTTCTCCAACCAAAGCTCCTCTAGTGCTCCAAGGGGTAACAAAGGAAGGGTTTCTAACCCTAAGCCTCAAGGAAGCAATAGTGGTGGATCTTCCATGGAGAGGCCTGCTTATGCCAAGTGTGGCAAAAAACATGATGGTAAATGTCTTGCGGGCATGGGTGTTTTCTATGGTAGTGGTAAGAGTGGGCATCAATTGAAAGATTGCCCAACACGTGCGGCCAAGGGAAGAAAAGATAAACAAACTCCTCCAAGTGGTTCAAATTCCGATGCTCCCAAGAAGAACCAATTTTATGCTCTCCAAGATAGAGGTGACCAAAAGATCTCCTCGGATGTGGTTTTCGATACGTTGCAAGTATTTCTTATTGATGTTTATGCATTATTGGATCCCGGTGCCACTCTCTCTTTTGTGACGCCCTATGTGGCAATGAGGTTTGATGTTCCTCTGGAGGAATTATTAGAACCTTTTTTCAGTTCCTACCCCGGTTGGTGACTCGGTGGTGGCTAAAAGGGTGTATAGAAGATGTCCCATTTCTTTGTCCCATAGAGTTACTCTTGTTGACTTGTTAGAACTTGACATGCTAGATTTTGATGTGATGCATCTATTGATTGTAGAACCCGGGTGGTTAAATTCCAATTTCCTAATAAACCTATTTTAGAGTGGAAGGGTGGAAATTCTATGCCTAGAGGTCAATTTTTTTCTTGTCTTATAGCTGGCAAAATGATCTCCAAAGGGTGCATTTACTATCTTGTTAGGGTGAAGGATGTTGAATCCAAAACCCCTCCTCTAGAGTCAGTTACGGTAGTGAATGAGTTTTCAAAAGTTTTTCCTGATAATTTGCCCAGTATTCCTCCCGAACGGGAAGTAGATTTTGGTATTGATCTTATCCCAGCTACGCAACCTATCTCTATTCCTCCTTATAGAATGGCTCCGACGGAGTTGAATGAGTTGAAAGAGCAACTAAAAGATTTGCTTAACAAGAGTTTTATTCAACCAAACATCTCTCCATGGGGTGCTCCGGTATTGTTTGTTAGGAACAAAGATGGAACTCTTAGAATGTGTATTGATTATCGGCAATTGAATAAGGTGACCATTAAGAACAAGTATCCACTTCCTAGAATTGATGTCTTATTTGACCAACTTCAAGGGACTACCTACTTTTCCAAAATTGACCTTCGTTTGGGATATCACCAACTAAGGATGAGAGGGATTGACATTCCTAAGACTGCTTTTCGAACTAGGTATGGGCCCTATGAGTTCCTTGTGATGTCATATGGCCTAACTAATGCCCCGGCGGCATTCATAGACTATATAAATAGGGTTTTCCGGCAATTCTTGACATGTTGTCATTGTGTTTATCGATGACATCTTGATCTATTCTAGGAGTGAGAGTGACCATACGGACCATTTGAGGATATTATTGAAAATCCTCAAGGATTATCAATTATTCACAAAGTTTAGTAAATGCGCATTTTGGCTAAGGTCCGTAGCATTCCTTGGTCACATTGTGTCAAACAAGGGTATAAAGGTAGATCCAAACAAGACAGACTCGGTCAAGAGTTGGCCTAGACCTTTATCACCAACTGGTATTATAAGTTTTTTATGTTTGGCCGGCTACTATAGGAGGTGTTTTGAGGGGTTCTCCTCTATTGCTTCTCCTTTGATGGCCTTAACTCAAAAGAAGGCTAAATTTGTGTGGTCGAAAGCTTGTGACAAAAGCTTCCAAGAATTGAAACATAGGCTTATCTCCATTCTGGTGTTGACCTTGCCGGAGGGTACCGATGGTTTTGTTGTGATGCCTCTAGAGTGGGTTTGGGATGTGTCCTTATGCAACATGGGAAAGTAATTGCCTATGCTTCAAGGCAACTCAAGATACATGAGAAGAACTATATGGGGTGCATGTTGATGTGTTCACCGACCACAAGAGTCTCCAATATGTGTTTAGCCAACAAGACTTGAACCTCCGACAAAGAAGGTGGTTAGAACTTTTGAAGGATTATGATATGAGTTTCCTTTACCACCCCAGCAAAGCCAATGTAGTTGCGGATGCCCTAAGTCGATTCTCCATGGGTAGTGTGGCCCATGTAGAAGATAAGAAGAAGGAGTTAGTTCGTGATGTTCATAGGTTGGCCCATTTAGGTGTCCAACTAGTGCATTCCACCAAGGGTGGTGTCCTGGTCCACAATGGTTGCAAATCATCCTTTGTAATGGATGTTAAGGCAAATCAAGACCTTGATCCTATTTTAGTGGAATTGAGAGAGTCGGTGCTCAACAAGTCCATTGAGGCTTTCTACCAAGGGGGAGATGGGGTTCTTAGGTACCAAGGTTGGTTATGTGTTCCAGATGTTGATGGCTTGAAAGAGCACATTTTAGACGAAGCTCATGGTTCGCGGTATTCTATTCATCCGGGAGCCACCAAGATGTATTGTGACATATGGGAAGTCTATTGGTGGAATGGTATGAAGAATAATATAGCGGGTTTTGTAGCTAAATGTTTGAATTGTCAACAAGTTAAGGCCGAACACCTAAGACCGAGAGGCTTGTCTCAATATATAGATATTCTCACTTGGAAGTGGGAGAATGTGAACATGGACTTTGTTGTGGGTTTTCCTCGTACTCGAAGGCAACATGATTCTATTTGGGTTATTGTGGATAGAATGACAAAATCCACCCACTTTATTCCCGTCAAGGTTTCCTTTTCAGCGGAAGACTATGCAAAATTGTATATCAAGGAGATAGTGAAGTTGCATGGAGATCCTTTATCTATCATTTCGGATCGAGGTACTCAATTTACTTTACACTTTTAGAAGGAATTCCAAAAAGGGCTTGGTACTAAGGTTAGGCTTAGCACGGTTTTTCATCCCCAAACCGATGGGAAAGCGGAACGTACCATCCAAACCTTAGAAGATATGTAGAGGGCATATGTTATTGACTTCAAGGGTGATTGGGATGACCATCTACCATTAATAGAGTTTGCCTACAATAATAGTTACCACTCAAGTATTGCCATGGTTCCTTTTGAAGCATTGTATGGTAGGAGGTGTAGATCTCCGGTTGGTTGGTTTGAAGTAGGTGAAATTGCTCTAATTGGTCCCGAATTAGTTTATGAGGCCATTGAAAAAGTCTGACTCATTAGAGAAAGGTTGAGGAACGCCCAAAATCGACAAAAGTCTTATGCCGATGTTAGAAGGAGGGATCTAGAATTTGAGGTTAATGATTGGGTCTACTTAAAAATCTCACCTATGAAAGGTTAGATGAGGTTTGGCAAGAAGGGGAAACTTAGTCCTCGATATGTGGGTCACTATCAAATTTTGAAGCGTATTGGGAAATTGCCTATGAGTTAGAGTTGTCGAATGAATTGGCTCCAGTTTATCTGGTATTTCATGTTTCCATGCTTAAGAAGTGTATTGGTGATCCGGTATCCATCATTCCTTTAGAAGGTTTGGGAGTTGATGAGAGTCTTTTGTATGAAGAGATCCCAGTAGAGATCTTAGACTGTCAAGTTGAAAGGTTGAGGAATAAGGAAATAGCTTCCGTGAAAGTGTTATGGAGGAATCATTTAGTTCAGGGTGCTACATGGGAGGCCGAGGCCGATATGAAGTTCTGCTATCCTCATATTTTTCCTTCTACTCCTATCCAAGCTTGAGGTAAGTAGTTCCCTTGAGTTTGATGTTTAGGGAGTCATGTGTGCTATATGTGTTCTATATGATTTCCTTATGTTATACATGTTCTTGATGAAATTCATGTTTGGTAAAAAAATGAGTTTTATGAATTATGTGTCCCTCATGTGACTGTGCATTTTAGTATGATGATGGCATTTTTGAATTCATGAGGTGATTTTATGAACATACTTTGCTATGCTTGTGGTGAAATGACATATTGGATCCATAATGTTGTGTTGAGCTTATTTTGTTGGAGAAGGTAGTTCCTCCTATGATTATGTTAAATGACGAGTCTTAAGATGGAGTTGATGTTTCCTCCCTTGAATTGTGAATTATTTTGATGTTGCATGCATGATGGGCTGCTAAGTCTTGAGTCTTTATTTCCGTAAGGTGTCTAAATCATCATTCGAGGACAATGTTCCCAAGGGGGAGATAATGTAACACTCCGGAAAATGATACGATAAACTAGAGCCTAAACGTGAGGGTGAACGTCAAGTACAAAGGTTATTAAAGTCAAGGCCAAGGGGCAAGTGCCAAAGCAAAGGGGCCAAGCCAAAGCCAAAGGCCAAGGCTGCCACTAGTTTGAAGCACACTGCCCCACCTTCA